TACTCAGGAGGCTGAGGCAGGAGAATCACTTGAACCCTGGAGGTGGAGGTTGCATTGAGCCAAGATTGCACCACTGCACTCCAGCCTGGGCGACAAGAGTGAAACTGTCTCAAAAAAATAAATAAAATAAAATAAGATAAAATAAGATAAAATAAAATAGATGGGTTGTCTCAATGTCAATTTCCTAGTTGTGACAATTGTACTCCAGTTACACAAAATGTTAAGGTGAAGGGATATGGGAATCTCTATCATTTCTGACAACTGCATGAGAATCAATCTACAATTACCTCAAAAAAAGGTTGAGGACTGGGCACGGTGGCTCACGACTGTAATCCCAGCACTTTGGGAGGCCAAGGAGGGTGGGTCACTTGAGGCCAGGAGTTCGAGACCAGCCTGGCCAACATAGTGAAACCCCGTCTCTACTAAAAATGCAAAAATTAGCTGGGCATGGTGGCACGCACCTGTAGCCCCATCTACTTGGGAGGCTGAGATAGGAGGATGGCTAGAATCTGGGAGGCAGAGGTTGTAGTAAGCCAAGATCGTGCCACTGTACTCCAGCCTGGGCGAGACACTGTCTCAAAAAAAAAAAAAGCTTGTTTTATTTTCTTAAATGCTCCAAAACTAGAGAGTGCAGATGCTAGCTTATGATCACTAAGATGACGAAGATCCAAGTGGACCTCTGAGCACAGGAGAAAAGAATAACCTGCCACAAGCTGTGAACTGTGCAAGGCCAAAGATGTGCCTCTCTGTAGAGGGAGCCCAAGTATAGGAACTCACGAAATTTTGAAAAACAGAGCCAAGAGGACACATATCTGTGCAACACTCCAGCTAAGAGCTTTTTCCTTTCCTATGAAAGAATGTAATTCTAATTCTACTCCTCTGTTCTGATTCCCCTTGCCTAGGAAAACTACCACATTTTACTAACATAATTTTCCTATTTACCTGTTGCGTGTGAACTAATCAGGGTTACAGAAACACCTGCTGTAACAAAATATACCTTAAAAATTTAACATATCCTTCCGGAGTGCATGGTCCAGACATCAGCACAACCAAATGTGGATAAAAATGGGTCATATTGTTCTGTATGAGAGCAACGATCTTCACTGACTGGGAAACTCAACTTTTCATGTGCCTTTTTGTCTTAATGTAAATCAATGAGTGGGGGTGGTAAATACATATTCCCTGTTACAGAAGCAACAGATTCCCACGACTGCTTTCTGGCCTCGGCCATGCAGGCATGTACAGATACGCTAGGTCTCATGTTTTGCTAGACTGCTCTCCTAGGCAGTGTTACCCTTAAGGCTGTCCCTGTGGTCTTCCACACAGGGCAAAACGTGTTATTCCAATAATCCAGGTATCAAAGGTGTTCTTTCCCCAACGAATCACAGACACTCGGTCCTTTCCTTCTACCACCTCTCACTTCCCAGGACCTGATTCCAGTTCATTGCTATTATATGTTTCCTAGAATACCGGTTCTTGATTAAACTACATGACCATTCCGTTTCTGACATCATTAGATTTCTCCATAAGGTGAGAGTGTTTCTAAAATATCAGTGTCACTGTGTAAAATACCACGGACCCTATAGATCCACTTCTAAAAATTTATGCCAAGAAAACTGATGTGCAGAAAGTAATTATTTTACATATAGAAGTTCATTACAGGTGTTTTTATAAGAGAGGAAGAAAGAAAATCATCCAAAATAAGACCAGGTAAAAAAATTTTTTTAGGATTTAAACCAAGCCTGTGCAGAACTCATGTCTTTAATTACATTATAACCCCAGTTGTTAATTTATAAACAGAAATGGACAGAGAACTGCTTCTTAAGAAAAACCCTTCCTGTCAACTTTCTTTTAGGACAAGATAAAAAAAAGAAAGGAAGACTCTTCCTTTGTCTGAAGGTATTCCTTGGATCACCTCCATCTGAAGAGCAGAATGACCATATTCCAAGACTGGGATCCTTACTTCTCATGAAAGATTATAATCACTTGTTGTAGGCAGGCAGGATGACACCCCCCACAAAAGACCCACATCCTAATCCCCCAAACCTATGAATGTTATTTTACAAGACAAAAGGGACTTTGCAGATGTGACTACATTAAGGGCCTTGAGATTCTGGTTAGCTGGGTGGGCAAGAATCCTTGTAGAGTGAGGCAGCAGAGCCAGAGTCAGGAAGGAGAAAGGGATGGGAGAGAGACGGTAGTGGGGAGAGCAGATGCAACCTTTGGTTCTGAAGATGGAGACGCAGCAAGGAAACAGATTCTCCCCCTGGAACCATCACAAGAAATATAACCAACCAGACACTTTCATATTACGACTTCTGACTTCTAAAACTGTAAGAGAATAAATTTATTTAAGTTACTAAGTGATCGTGTGTTACTGCAGCAGCAGGAAACTGATACGCCACCGTACTGTATAAAAACGGTTTAATCTTTTAAATATTTGGATGCACCTGTAATAAAAAAAACAGAAAAACTATATTCCAAACCTTGCTAGAGAACAGCCTCAGTTCTGAGGCCCAAATCTTTACCAAAATCAAGAGTGAATTAAGTGCTATTTATGAGGCATCACCACTTAACGGGGACACACGGCCCTCTGTGCCACTGTCCTCCAAATATCCTTGCCTCAAGTAAGCTGGATTAAGTGGACTAGAAAACTGCTCACTGGGACCATATTTTCTCCCAAAACTGTTTTCTCTGAGCTGTGTATCTCACTTTTAATCCAGTGACAGTAAGAAATCTGAAAAATGGGGATAACAGTCACACAGAGAGCTACCATTGACTGGTTACTATACCACATTGTCCTAGTACTCCACATATGCTCTCATTCAGTCTTCATGACAGCCCCTAAGAGGGAGGCCACCGGTGTCCCCATTTCACAGAAGAAGAAATGCAGGCACATAGCACCCACTGCTTCCTGGGGCACTCTCACGTCCCAGGACTGTTCTAAGGATGAGATGAGGTAACCCACATACGGCATATAAGGTAAAAGCCATCACTGGTACTTATCCCAGCCGCAGCCTTCCCCCTGCCTGGAGGCTGTCACTGAGCTTGGGGCAGGGCAGTGGAGTGGAGAAGGGGAGGGCAGTCCTGGTCCTGAACCAGGGCAGTCAGTGAACGTCTCTAAGCAACAAGTTCCAGCACACAAGGTAGATACTAAGGGTACCTACCCTCTCCAGGGCTTGCCTGAGGACCAAATGGGACTATGGATAGACAGCCATTAGCACAACAGCAGTTAGGGATCCTTACTACTCGGTTTCTCCTCTGGGAAGAATTTTGTTCAGCTAAGTGTCTGTAAAAAGCTTCGCGTTCTCACGTTTTCTTTTTCTTTCTTTTTTTTTTTTGAGACAGAGTTTCGTTCTTTGTTGCCCAGGTTGGAGAAAAAAGGCGCCATCTCGGCTCACCGCAACCTCTGCCTACTAGGTTCAACTGATTCTCCTGTCTCAGCCTCCTGAGTAGCTGTGATTACAGGCATGCGCCACCACACCCGGCTAATTTTGTATTTTTTTAGTGGAGCTGGGGTTTCTCCGTGTTGGCCAGGCTGGTGTCGAACTCCTGACCTCAGGTGATCCGCCTGCCTTGGCCTCCCAAAGTGCTGGGATTACAGGCGTGAGCCACCCCGCCGGGCCTCACACATTTTCTGCTTATGGCAGAAGGTCAGGTCTCTGGTCATGTTTACCGTTTGCTGTGGCCACCAAGTAGCCGCGTCTTACCCTTGTTCTATTTTTTTTGAGACAGCGTCTGGCTCCGTCGCCCAGGCTGGAGTGCGGAGGCCCGATTCTGGCTCACAGCAGCCTCGACCTGCCGGGCTCAGGTGAACCTCCGGCCTCGGACTCCGGAGTATTAATAGCTGGGACCTCAGGCGCGCACCACCAGCCCGGCTAATTTTTCTTGTTTTTACAAGAGAAGGGCCGGGCGCGGGGGCTCACGCCTGTTATCCCAGCACTTTGGGAGGCGGAGGCGGGCGGATGACCTGAGGTCAGGAGTTCGAGACCAGCCTGGCCAACATGGTGCAACCCCGTCTCTACCAAAAATACAAAAACCAGCCGGGCGCGGTGGCGGGCGCCTGCAGTCCCAGCTACTCGGGAGGCTGAGTGAGGCAGCGGGATCGCCTGAACCCGGGAAGCGGAGGTTGCAGTGAGCCGAGATCGCGCCACTGCACTCCAGCCTGGGCGACAGAGCGGGACTCCCTGTCCAAAAAAATAAAATAAATAGAGGAGAACGGGTCTCGCTCTGTGGCCCAGGCTGATCTGGAACAGGATCCTGGGCTCCAGCGATCTGCCCGCCTCGGTCTCTCCCAGCGCCGGGCCCCCAGGCACGGTGCCCGGCCCGGCCCCTCCCCGCACCCTCCCCAGCCACGCGTCCACCCCGCAGGGCCAGGCCGGGGTCCCGCCGCTCTCATCGCCCCCGCCGCGCGGCAGGCCCCAAACGCAGCTGCGCGCAAGGCGAGGCCCGAAAAACCTCAGGAAGAGCCGAGCAGGGGAAGGCCGCGCGGCCCGCCTCGTTTCCCCGCGGGAAGTCGCGCCCGTAGCGCCTCCGCCCGCCCCGGGCCCCTCGGTCGGCTGTCGGGGCGCGCAGCCCTACCCCTGTCAGGCGCGGCGAGTGCGGGAGGCTGCGGGACCCGGGTCTCCCTCCCGCCTCCGCGGCGCCACCCAAGCCCGGCCCCATGGCATCCTCCGAAGGGCCGGCCCGAGGGCCTCAGGAGTGCGCCCCTCACCTGCTGGCTTCGCCGTCCGCGCCCGGGTCCGCGCGCCGCCGCCAGCCGCTCCTCAGGGCCATGGAGCCGCAGGCTACACCCTCTGTTTCGCGGGAGAATTTGGCGCGCTTCTACCCAGTCTCGCGAGAGCCTTAAGTGCCGCCGTCCATCAAGAGGCGCGCCCCGCCCCTCGTCCGCCCCCCGAGACGCTCCAATAGGCGCCGGTGCCCGGCGGGGGAGGTGGCCGGCAGGGACCGGGAAAAAGTGTGCGGAGGCGCGCGCGCCGCACCGTGGGGTTGGGACCGGGCGGCGCTGCGGACCGCGGTGCGGCCGGAAATGTCAGGCCTTCCCCACTCCGCTCTCCGCGCCTCGGGCTCCGCGCCCGGCCTGCCTGAGGTGGGGTCGATGCCCCCGGCAGCGCGGCGCTGGGGAGGCGATGGCGCCGGCCGCGTCCAGGCTGCGGGCCGAAGCCGGGCTCGGGACGCTCCCGCGGCGGGCGCTCGCCCAGTACCTGCTTTTCCTGCGGCTCTACCCGGTGCTCACCAAGGCAGCCACCAGGTGAGCGGGGGCGCGGCCGGCGCGGGAATCGGACGCCGCCCCGGCCCCAGGTCGGCCGCAGTGGCGCGGGGCCTGGACAGGAGCGCGGGGCCGGGACCAGTCTGGGGGCGCGCCCGGGTCAGAGCCCCCGCAGCGGGCGCCCTCCGACCCGGCGCTGAACTTCCCGCGGCGACACCCGCGTCCCCAGTCAGCGATTGTGAGGCGCCTCGCGGATCCCGCCCTCCCAGCGCGTGGAGGGCCCGCCCGGACCCCGGGGGCTCGGCGCTGAGGTTCCACCCAAGGACCCGACAGGGGCGCCGCGCACCCGGGGAAGCCACGGCCTGGGGAGCGCGTCCTCATGGCGCGGGTGGAGACAGGGCCGAGGGAGCGGGTCCTCACGGCGGGGGTGGAGACAGGGCCGAGGGAGCGGGTCTGCGGGGCGCGGGTGAAGACACGGCGCGGGTGGAGACAGGGCCAGGGGAGCGGGTCCTCACGGCGGGGGTGGAGACAGGGCCGAGGGAGCGGGTCTGCGGGGCGCGGGTGAAGACACGGCCAGGGAGCGGGTCCGCATGGCGCGGGTAGAGACAGGGCCAAGGGAGCGGGTCTGGGGGACTCGGGTCCGCACGGCGCGGGTGGAGACACGGCCAGGGAAGGTGTTTTTTGAGAAGGTGACATTGAACAGGCTGTGTAAAGAAGTGGAGCAGAGGCTCTCCTGGCACAGGGAACAGCAGGGCAAAGGTCCCTGTTAGGTTTTGAAGGGAAGGCCGGCGTTAAAGAAAGGCTGGGAGAGGTGCAGCTTGGACTCAGTCCCGAGGGAGGGAACTGTGTGTGGAGAACGTGAACCCTGAGCAAGAGGCAGGAGATGTGAAGGGAATCGCCAGGGATCTGATCCAGAAGGTGTCTAGGTCCGCGCTAGGAATTTTGGATTTTAGAGTCCAGAGAGCTTCTCAGAAGGCAAATACAAACCAAGGCCTGGAGGGAGCCACTGGGCGTGTTCCACATTTTTCTGGAAATTTTTATTGTGCTAATTGTAGATTCACAAACAGTTACAAGACTAATATGGAGAGATCCCTTGTACACCTTCCCAGTGTCCCCCATTGGTTACATTCTGTGAAACTGCAGTGCACTATCAACCAGGGCATGGCATGGACACAGTCCACAGATCCTATTCAGATTTCTCCATTTTTCTTGTAGTTGTATCTGTTCTGTACAGTTTTATCACATCTGTACGTTCACATGTTCACTAACACAGTCAAAATGCAGAACAGTGTCATGATAGGGCCGTCCTGTTGCCCTTTCATAACCACACAGCTTCCTTACTCCCAAACTGCAAAAGTTACAGTATAACATCACAGCCAGGAGGTTGACATTGATACTGGAAAGCCGCTTGTCCTTATCTATGTATGTAAGTCCACTGTCTCCACCTTTTTTTTTTTTTTTTTTTTTTGAGACAGAGTCTCGCTCTGTCGCCCAGGCTGGCTGCAACCTCTGCCTCCCCGGTTCAAGTGATTCTCCTGCCTCAGCCTCTGGAATAGCTGGGATTATAGCCATGCACTACCATGCCCAGCTAATTTTTGTATTTTTAGTAGAGACGGGATTTCACCATGTTAGCCAGGATGGTCTCGATCTCCTGACCTCGTGATCCGCCCGCCTTGGCCTCCCACAGTGCTGGGATTACAGGCGTGAGCCGCCGTGCCCTGCGGTCTCCACCTTTTGATACAAGAACTATACATTGAGCCCCTTTAACAATAATTCCAACCCCCGCCGCTCCCGCATCTGCTGCATGGCCTCAGAACGGCCCTGCTCATTCACCTGTGGGAAGGGGACACCCTCCTGCTGGTCACTTCTGTTTTCTGATGACCTCCCTTTCCACAGTGGCATTTTGTCAGCACTTGGGAATTTCCTGGCCCAGATGATTGAGAAGAAGCGGAAAAAAGAAAACTCTAGAAGTCTCGATGTCGGTGGGCCTCTGAGATACGCTGTTTATGGGTGAGTGCCATACAAGGGGTGGGTTTACCCTGTAGCCGCTGAGTGCAACCAAGCTGGGCACCAAAACCAAGTAGTTGGAGTACTCTCATTTATAATATGATTTTTTAAAAAACATTGTCGTAATCATCATGGGAAAAAACTCGAATGGTTCATATAGTTTGTATGGCATATATACACGTATGTGGTTTTTCTGTTTTTTCTTTTTTTTTTTTGGAGACAGTCTCCCTCTGTCACCCAGGCTTACTGCAACCTCTGCCTCCCCGGTTCAAGTGATTCTCCTGCCTCAGCCTCTGGAATAGCTGGGATTATAGCCATGCACTACCATGCCCAGCTAATTTTTGTATTTTTAGTAGAGATGGGGTTTCACCATGTTGGCCAGGCTGGTCTTGAACTCCTGACCTCAAGTGATCCACCCACCTCGCCCTCCCAAAGTGCTGGGATTGCAGCCTCATATTTGTGGTTTTATCATGTTTCTTTTTGATTGGATGGGTGGGGGCGACTGTCTTAATTGGGCTGAGAGGCAAACTTAAGGGCAAGTAACTCAACTTAAAGTCAGACTTCAGGATTCAAAAACCCTGAAAGCGTCCTCGACTGGGCTCATGGAATAGGAAAACTGACTCCAATGTGACTAATTAGTTTTTATTGTTATTTTCATAGTGTAAATATCCAGAAAAGAAATGCTTAGGTACCCTCAAAAATGTCCAGTTTCTGAACCACATTCTGAATTGCAAAAGCACAGTGATTCAAGAGTTTTACCAATTTAATCCACCCTGAGCTCTTGGCCAACAATAATGTTACAGATGGATTATTTGAAGTATTTTCCAACTATAGTGATTTTTTTTTTAAATTCAGAACTCATGAAGATCATTTTTATGCTTACAAGCTTGCTAACTTGAATCATCATGGATTTTTCCATAATGTATTTAAAGCAGTAATCCCCCCAAGAGGGGCGGGTGACAAGATCACCTAGCAGGCCTCATCCAAGTACGGTTTTCCCATCCCCAGGACTTCAGTCCCCTTCCCCACTGAGAATCCCTGCATAGGCCCCATCCCCAGGACTTCAGTCCCCTTCTCCACTGAGAATCCCTGCATAGGCCACATAATACCCTGTGACCGAGTGGGAAAACACACTGAGAACCACTTATTTAAAGACTGTCAACGTCACAAGTTGAAAGACCCCACTTTTTATTGCCAAATTTTATGGAACTGCAAGGCCTCTTGTCCCAGTAGATGTGACAGCTGGTTCCATTCTCTCCCAAGCACACAGGGGAATGATTAGTAGCAATGCACGCAAGCCAGAGTGCAGCACCAGGTCCCGCCCTTGCCAGTTAGCCTAGCGAGTTTGATGAAAAGCTCTACAACCAGGGACATGTCTGATGATTCATTACTGAGCACCTTCTCAAAGCCAGGCCCTGTTCTGGGCACTGCAGTGGACAGAAGACGTAGCCTGCCTTGGGGAGCCTGCCTTCTAGGGGTGAAGAGAGGCACAGACTAACCTAACAGATGAGATAAGGACAGTGCTAGGCAGAAAAGGAACTAGGGCCTGGAATAAAGAGTGTTAGCACAGGCATGCATGCGTGCTGGGACAACCCGGAAGTTGACAGTATGAGGGGAGTGAGCCACCATGGCTAGGCGAGGAAGCGCTGGGCACAGATTCCACAGCAGGGGGAGCGAGCCACCATGGCTAGGCGAGGAAGCGCTGGGCACAGATTCCACAGCAGGGGGAGCGAGCCACCATGGCTAGACGAGGAAGCGCTGAGCAGCAGAGTCCACAGCAGGGGGAGCGAGCCACCATGGCTAGGTGGGGAAGCGCTGAGCAGCAGAGTCCACAGCAGGGGGAGCGAGCCACCATGGCTAGGCGGGGAAGTGCTAAGCGCAGAGTCCACAGCAGGGGGAGCGGTAGGCGGGGAAGCACTGAGCTCAGAGAGTCCACAGCAGGGGGAGCGAGCCACCATGGCTAGGTGGGGAAGCGCTGGGCACAGAATCCACAGCAGGGGGAGCGAGCCACCATGGCTAGGCAGGGAAGTGCTGAGCGCAGAGTCCACACACAGCAGGAGCAAGTCTGGTCTGTTAGAACAACAGAGCGCCCCTGAAGCTGACTTGTCTGTACAGACCTGTGTGGCCAATACTGAGGGACATTAGGAAGCAGGGCTTAGGACCTGGGATTTGGGAGTGAAGCTAGACCAGAGAAGAGCACACCCAGAGAACCACAGCCTGGCTCACACCCCCCGGGGGCCTCAGATTCTTCTTCACAGGGCCGCTGAGTCACTTCTTCTACCTCTTCATGGAACACTGGATCCCTCCAGAGGTCCCCCTGGCAGGGCTCAGGAGGCTCCTCCTGGACCGCCTCGTCTTTGCACCGGCCTTCCTCATGTTGTTCTTCCTCATCATGAACTTTCTGGAGGTGGGTGTCTGCCGCAGCACTTACTGCAGCTCTTCGTTTAGCACAGGGATTCTTCACCTGACATTCCTGGCAGAGTTCAGAGGGTCTGCAAACTTTTCACTCAAATTGAAATTTTGCCTTTTCCTTTATGAATACAGAAGCAAACGTCTAGTATTGGCAGGACCTGTTTGTACCCAGTACAGTCACTTTATTTATTTATTTATTTATTTAAAGGCAGGGTTTCACTCTGTCACCCAGGCTGCAGTGCAGTAGCACAATCACAGCCCACCGCAGCCTCAAACTCCTGGGTCCAAGCAATCCTCTTGCCTCAGCCTCCCAAGTAGCTGGGACTACATGTGTGTGCCACCACACACAGCTAATCAGATATTTTTGTATCACATATTAGTTGTTACAGATATCTCGAAATATCATTTATGCTCATTACTACTTGGACCTGCCATTAGAGGTCTTGTCACTGTGTAAAGAAAGAAACAGGCGGGGTGCAGTGACTCATGCCTGTAATCCCAGCACTTTGGGAGGCTGAGGCCGGTGGATCACCTGAGGTCAGGAGTTTGAGACCAGCCTGGTCAACATGGCGAAACCTCGTCTCTACTAAAAACTACAAAAATTAGCCAGGCATGGTGGTGGGCGCCTGTAATCCCAGCAACTTGGGAGGCTGAGGCAGGAGAATCGCTTGAAGCCGGGAGGCGGAGGTTGCAGTGAGCTGAGATTGCGCCATTGCACTCCAGCCTAGGTGACAGAGCAAGACTCTGTCTCAAAAAAAAAAAAAAGAGGCCGGGCGCGGTGACTCAAGCCTGTAATCCCAGCACTTTGGGAGGCCGAGATGGGCGGATCACGAGGTCAGGAGATCGAGACCATCCTGGCTAACACGGTGAAACCCCGTCTCTACTAAAAAAATACAAAAAACTAGCCGGGCGAGGTGGCGAGCGCCTGTAGTCCCAGCTGCTCGGGAGGCTGAGGCAGGAGAATGGCGTGAACCCGGGAGGCGGAGCTTGCAGTGAGCTGAGATCTGGCCACTGCACTCCAGCCTGGGCGACAGAGCAAGACTCCCTCTCAAAAAAAAAAAAAAAAAAAAGAAAGAAAGAAACAGGGCCGGGTATAGTGGTGCACGCCTGTAATCCCAGCACTTTGTGAGGCCAAGGCCAGTGGATAGCTTGAGGCCAGGAGTTCGGGACCAGCCTGGGCAACATGGCAAAAACCAATCTCTCCAAAAATTAAAAAATGAGCCAGTGTGGTGATGTGCACCTGTAGTTCCAGCTATTCGGGAGGCTAAAGTGAGAGGATCCCTTGAGCCCAAGATGTGGAGGCTGCAGTGAGCAGAGATCGCACCACTGCACTCCAGCTGGGGTAACAGAGCAAGACCCTGGTTCAAAAGACAAAATTAAAAAATAGAAATAAACACATTAGTCTGTCAAAATTTCTTCTGAATATTTTGATAACTGTGTTTCAGTATTACTGGTTCCTTTGTAGTCCTATTTTATTTATTTATTTATTTATTTATTTATTTTTAATTATTATTTTTTTTGAGACAGAGTCTCACCCTGTTGCCCAGGCTGGAGTGCAGTGGCGCGATCTCGGCTCACTGCAGCCTCCACCTCCTGGGTGCAAATGATTCTCCTGCCTCAGCCTCCTGAGCAGCTGGGATTACAGGAGCCCGCCACCACACCCCGCTAATTTTTGTATTTTTAGTAGAGATGGGGTTTCACCGTGTTGACCAGGCTTGTCTTGAACTCCTGACCTGATGATCCACCTGCCTCGGCCTCCCAGAGTGCTGGGATTATAGGTGTGACCCACTGCGCCTGGCCATATTTTATTTTATACATTATAAAACATGATTCTGAGAAGGGGGTCCACAGGCTTCACTAAACTGCCAAAGAGATCTGTGGCACAAGAAGTTTGAGATCCCTGATGATGACACAGAAGCCTGTGCAAGTTCTGGGCCTGGAGGTTCACCTACCGGCATAATCCCAGTTGGAATCCAACGCGTGGGAGACGTGTTCACCTGCACTCAGCAGATGTGTCTGTTCTGACTGTCCCACCTTCCCTGTTGACGAGCACCTTCAAATCCTCACCGTCTCTAGGAGCACTGGCCGGGTGGTGCTGTGTGTCTGAGACGTGTCACCTTCTTTTTTTTTTTTTGAGACGGAGTCTCACTCTGTCGCCCAGGCTGGAGTACAGTGACGTAATCTCAGCTCACTGCAACCTCCGCCTCTTGGGTTCAAGCAATTCTCTGCCTCACACCACCGGGACAGTAGCAGGGATTGCAGGTGCCGCCACTACGCCGCAGCTAATTTTTTGTATTTTTCCAGTAGAGGCGGGGTTTCACCACCTTGGCCAGGTTGGTATTGAACTCCTGACCCCTCAGTGATCCACCCGCCTCAGCCCTCCCCCCAAAGTGCCTGGCGATTACAGGTTTGAAGCCACCGACCCAACTGTCACCTTCCGGTCTGACAAGTAAATTTGTCTTCTAACCCAAATCACTCTTCCATACAGAAGTTCTAAAGGTCGTCGTATTTCAAGATACTGACATTAAATTTTCCCCTTCCCATGCCTTTTCCTTACAGGAATAACAGAAATATCTCTCCTATACTTTCCTCTGAAGTATCCCGCTATGGGTTTACTTGTGTAACCAGTAGGAGACAGACTCTGCTATGCCGCATTTTTTCTCTTCATAGCAAATTTTCTCATTATGCATTCTATTGGGCCAATCCCCAGTATGCCTTTCGAAATTTCTATTTCCCAGCTGTACAGGCAATTATCTCGGACTCTTTGTTCTTTTGCATGGATTCACCTCTTTCTTTTTTTTTGAAAAATGAGGAAATCTGCATCAGAACGCGCCGAGAGTCCCGCTGGAGTGCAGTGGTGCAGTCTTGGCTCACGCAACACTCACCCTCTCGGTGGAGGGGGTTCCAAGCGTGATTTTTAGTGCCTTCGCCTCCAGCGTAGGCTAGGCACAACAGGCGCCCACCACGCATGTCCCGACGTAATTTTTCGTATTATTTAGTAGTCAACTGGGTTCCTCTGTGTTGGCCAGCGCTGGCTCTCAACCTCAAGTCGATATCCCGCCTTAGCATTACAGGTGTGGCCGCCGCACCCAGCTTTCCCCCATTACTCTTACGGACAAGAAAATATTTTAAGCATTTCTTAAAACTGTTTTCTATTTAGTTTGTGATATACCGTAGAGGGTAACGAATGCAATTTCTTTTTTTTTTTTTTTTGAAGAAGCGCACGCGAGTCTCGGCTCTGCTGCCCAGGGCTGCGGAGTGCAGGTGGCCGGTCGATGCCACTCAGCTCACCCCGCCACACCCCCAAACACACAACCGCCACTCGCAAGGCTCCCCGCCTCCCGGGTCTGATCACGCCCATTCTCAACTGCCTCAGCCTCCGAGTAGCCTGGGACTACCAGGCCGCGCCACCCATCGCCCGGCTAGTTTTTTATTCTTCTTTAGGAGAGAACGGGGTTTCACCCCGTGTTTAGGCCAGGCATGGTCCTCGATCATCTTGACCTCGTGAGCCGCCCGTCTCGGCCCTCCCAAAGTTGCTGGACTTTACACGCCTTCGAGCCACCGCGCCCAGCCCTAAGTCAAATTTCTTATGTGACTGTGCCTAGTGGTGACGTCTGACGCTTTCAGCTTCCCATCACCCCAACAGTAGCTCAGTGTGCACTTTTCAACCCTCCTTCGCCCACCTGCCACCTTTTTTCAAGTCTCTGGTGTCTGTTATTTCCCTCTGCTTTGGTCCCATGTGTACCTCTGTCTCTAGCCCCCGTACTTATATGAGAACATCTGCCTAGGCACCGGAAAGCGTCCACTTGAGCCAGGATGTCCGCACCGACCTCCAGCCCCGGGCAAACATAGTGAACCGACCTTCTCTACACAAAAAAATTAAAACATCAAAGGGGGTTGTGATTGCACATTCAGCCTATACGTGCGCGGCGCTACTCAGGCAGGTGAGCACTTGAGGCTATGATGCCAGGAGGTTGGAGAGGGCGCACTGAGTGAACGCCGTGGCGGCATTGCACCCACTCGGCCACTCAGCCGGCCATGGGCCAACCAAGGAGTGACGAACGCGGGCACTTCTGCAGACGTGGGACAAAGCGTATTTGACCTTTCTTAGGCTGCAACGTTTTGTTTCGTTGGGTGGTGCTGGTTTTGGTCATGCACACAAAGAATGCGCATTTTTTTTTTTTTTTTTTTTTTTTTTTGCGTTTGCTGTTTGGTCTAGGCTGGGAGTGTAGTGTGTCATCCCTCATCTCCACTGCAACCTCCGCCAGGTTCACCAATTTTTCCTGGCCGTCAGCCTCCCACAAGCTTTGCGGTGAGCCACCATCGCCCCGGCCGACGTTCCATTCCTTTTTGCTACATAGGCGTAGGTTGTGTCATTTATGTTTTTTTCTATGATCTGTTGGGGGACATTTAGGTTGATTCCATGTGTTTGCTGTTGTGGATAGCCCTGTGATAAACATACGAGGGCAGGGATTTTTTGATACGATTCTTCCTTGGGGTAGAGGCCCAGTAGTGGGATTGCTGGATTGAATGGTGGTTCTATTTTTAGTTCTTTGAGAAATCTCCATACTGTTTTCCAGAAAGGCTGTACTAATTTGCATTCCCACCAGCAGTATGTAAGTGTTCACTTTTCTCCACATTCTTGCCAGCATCTATTGTTTTTTGACCTTTTTTTTTTTTTTTTTTTAGACAGAGTCTCCCTCTGTCGCCCAGGCTAAAGTGCAGTGGCCCGATCTCAGCTCACTGCAAGCTCCGCCTCCCGGGTTTACGCCGTTCTCCTGCCTCAGCCTCCCGAGTAGCTGGGACTACAGGCGCCTGCCACCTCGCCCGGCTAGTTTTTTATATTTTTTAGTAGAAACGGGGTTTCACCAGGTTAGCCAGGACGGTCTCGATCCTCCCAAAGTGCTGGGATTACAGGCTTGAGCCACCGTGCCCGGCCGACCTTTTTTTTTTTTGAGGCAGAGTTTCACTGTGTTAGCCAGGGTGGAGTGCGGTGGCGCGATCTCGGCTCACCACAACCTCTGCCTCCCAGGTTCAAGTGATTCTCCTGCCTCAGCCTCCTGAGTAGCTGGGATTACAGGCACACGCCACCACGCTCGACTAATTTTTGTGTTTTTTTTAGTAGAAACCGGGTTTCACCGTGTTGGTCAGGCTGGTCTCAAACTCCTGACCTCGTGATCCGCCCGCCTCAACCTCCCAAAGTGCTGAGATTCCAGGCATGAGCCACCGCGCCTGGCCACTTGACTTTTTAATAATAGCCATTCTGACTGGCGTGAGGTGGTATCTCTTTGTGGTTTTAATTTGCATTTCTCTGATGATTAGTGATGTTGAATATTTTTTCATATGTTTCTTGGCCACTTGTTTTTCTTCTTTTGAAAAATGTTCATGTCCTTTGCCCAGTTTTTTAATGAGGTTATTCATTTCTTTCTTGTTAAGTTGTGTGAGTTCCTCGTAGATTCTGGATAACAGCCCTTTGTAGGATGCATAATATGCATATATTTTTTCCCATGCTGTAGATTGTTGATTGTTTCTTTTGCTGTGCAGAAGCTTTTTTGTTTAATGAAGTCCTGTTTGTCTGTTTTTGGTTTTGCTGTATTTGCTTTTGAGGACTTAGTCACAAATTCTTTGTCTTTGGCTGATGTCCAGAGGAGTTGCTCCTAGGATCTTCATGGTTTCAGGGCTTGGGTGCAGGTCTTGAATCCACCAGCTGACATTTAGAATCAACTTACTGGGGTCCTTTTTTTTTTCCCGTAACTCCTAACAAGTTTTGATTGGAAAGACATCGACTTTGGAGGTTATTTGGGAGGAACTGACAGCATAGCTCTGAGTAGCAGTTCTGGTGCCCAGGGCCAGCCTTGGGAGTCACCTCCTCCAGTTGTCCTCAAGGAGTGATGGGCCGGGACACACATCACTGCCAGCGTGAGCAGGCTGCTGTCTGGCATCTCACTGATCATTTTCCATCTTACTAGTTGGCTCCTTAGAGCCGCAGTGCTGAGTACACGTGTGTGCTGTCTGCATACACACAGAACAAAACCCAATAGCAGTTTAAAAACCATCACGTTAGGGTTTGGGTGCCTGGAATTCAGTTCTGATGGGCAGTGAGATTGTTCACCACCTGCCTTCCCTCCTTTGCAGGGGAAAGACGCCTCAGCCTTCGCTACCAAGATGAGGGGGGGCTTCTGGCCAGCGCTAAGGATGAACTGGAGGGTGTGGACGCCAGTGCAGTTCATCAACATCAACTACATCCCTCTGAAGGTGAGGGCCATGGGGCTCAGCCTCTGCCAACATTACTTTCTGTCAGCATTTTCCTTCCTTCCTTCCTTCCTTCCTTCTTTCCCCTTCCCCTCTCTTTTTTCTTTTCTTTTCTTTTTCTTTTTCGTTTTCTTTTCTCCTCTTTCTGCTGTAGTTTCCACTGGACTTGGTTTCACCGTGTCTAGACTCCTCAGCCAGCCTTGGATTTTGCCCGTGACCCTGAATCATTGCTAGTTCTGGATTCAGGAAGCAACACACAAGGGTGTCCAGAGTGGGTGTCTTTGCCTCTTCCGTTTGTTCAGCAAATTCTCATTAAAAGCCCCCATGCCAGGGATGCCCTTGAGTTTCCTAGCCTTTGAAACATTCCCAGTTCCAGGAGTGTACATTCAGGCAACTTGAATCTATGCTCCTGGGTTGTAGTCCTCAAACTCAACCCAAATAAACTCTAGTTATACTTAGAAAAAAAAGACCGTCACGGTAGCTCATGCCTGTAATCCCAAAACTATGGGAGGCTGAGGCGGCCAAATCACTTGAAGCCGGGAGTTCGAGACCAGCCTGGCCAACATAGCAAAAACCCCATCTCTACTAAAAATACAAAAGTTAGCTGGGCATGGTGGCAGGTGCCTGTAGTCCCAGCTACTCAGTGGGCTGAGGCACAAGAATCGCTTGAACCTGGGAGACGGAGGTTGGAGTGAGCTGAGATTGCACCACTGCACTCCAGCCTGGGCAACAGAGTAAGACCCTGTCTCAAAAAATAAATAAAATGTTAAAAAGAAACAGAGCATTCGTGGTTCCTGGGCTCATGAATTACAGCTGAGCCTGAAGGCAGGCACTGTGCGGCCCTGGGTCCTGCCGCTGACCTGGAAGGGCTGCCTCACCTGGACGAGGGGTGGGCCTGTCCAGGTGCAGAGTGAAGATCTTCTGGGGAAACTGAGCGTTTCCGCTATCCTGTGCATGAAGGAGCTGCTGTGGGGACTAAGTCAAAGGTGTCAGATTGGGGCTGGGCTGGTGGAGCTGAGGCTGGAGCCCCAGGCTCTGCCACGGGGATCAAGTGTCTTTATGCACAGCCGGGGTCCCCAGGACCACTCCCACACTGGGAGGATGGGGTGCAGCGCCCCCTGCAGCATGGCAGGACACCCCAGGATGCTGCAGGAGGAGGCCTGGCAGAGTCTGCAGGAGCCACGTGCTTCCCTCCCCCACAAGGTGTGCCGCCCATCAGGGTTTTACTGGCACTCGTGGGCAGGCATCCCTGCCTGCTGCCCCAAAGCTCCAGACCCCGAGAAAGACAGCAGCTGTGTGGAGCAAACAGTCCAGACACAGGGCCCTTCTGGGAAAGGTGGGTACCATCCCAGCCCAGGCTGCCACTAGGGAGGACCTGGACAGGCCTGCAGTGGCTGGATCTCAGCTATAGAGAGCCTTCCTGCATTAGCACCGGCTCTGAGCCCTGCCCAGGAGGGAGGAGAGGACCAGAGTGACCCCCGAGGGAGAGGAGGGAGGCGGCCCAGTGTGCACACACACTGCACACACCACAAACACACACACCAGGAAGCAGCAGGAAAACAGGGGCGCACATAGACAGGACAAAGAGGCGGTTCACCCTTAGCCAAAGTGGCCAGGAGTTAAAGCAAAATAAAAACAAAATTTCCTTTGGCTTTAACAGTGGTCCTTCCCAGAGTAATTTCAGCTCCATGGGGCTGAAGCCAGATTGCTTTGAAGAGTGGGTGGGAATTATTTTAAAACTCACAAGTCTAGAACATGATCTCAAAGTTTGTGGAGACCAGGCATGGTGGCTCATGCCTGTAATCCCAGAACTTTGAGAGGCCAAAGCAGAAGGATCACTTGAAGCCAGGAGTTTGAGACCAGTCTGGGCAACATAGTGAGACCCCATCTCTATTTTATAAAAATGAATTTTAAAAAGTTTGAGAGGAGGTGAGGAGAAGCGATGGAAGAAGGCTGGGTGGCGGAGGGGGTTCTGACACTCGAGATGCGGACGTGGTGGGTGCAGACGTGAAGCTGCTTGTGGGATGGGCAAACACCCATGTCCAGAAAGAGCGGCTCTGCGGGGTCCCCTAAGGAGGCAGGTGGATGCGAGTCCCCCGCACACTCACCATGGTGCTTGGGACAAAGGCCCCACCCTCTGTGATGACAGAGGAGAGAGAAAGGGACAGCTGAGCGGAGAGGAGAGTGGGACATCCTGCCTCAAGCCCCTATGTGCCTCTCCTCTGGAGGGCCAGGGGCTGGGACTGAGGGGAGAGGAAGCCAGGTGGGCATTGTGAGGGGATACAGAAGGGGCAAGTTTGGCCACATGGAGGATGGGAGAGCACGCTGACTGCAGAAACAAAGACTTCTGGGCAGAGGGGGCTGGGGCTTGTCAGCATCTGGGGAGGTGAGAAGGCAGGAAGGATAAAGAATTTTCCAGGGAGTGTGACTGAAGAACAGTAGGCTAAGGAAGCTACAGCCATAGGCCACCGGTTCTCGGGAATTTAGAGAAGGAAGTAGAGACAGGTGAGAAGACAGACTGGCCGGGAGCATGGAGGATCTGGGATGGAAGAGGGGAGAGCCAGGAAGCCGCGCCTCTGAGCAGCATGGGGGCAGAGTCGCCATCCTAGGTGTGTGCAGGTGGGTGAGGAAGCGGCATTCATTCAGCAAGTGTTTCCTGAGCAGTGGCTGTGTGCCGTGCTGCCAGACTCGGGGACGCAGTGACTAACCAGACAGACAGGCTGCTACTTTCATAGCACCACATGCCAGGGAGAGACAGCACCAGGCCAGGGAATTCTGGGGCAGGGTGAAGCTGCTGAGTCACCAAAGCAGGGCAGTGGGATGGCGATGGTTAGAGAGGAGAGAAGGTCTGGGGCCCCTCCCCTGTTCGTCAGCTGTGTCCCCCGAGGAGGATGCAGCCACCTGCATGATGGCTGGTCCTGGAGTGAGAGAGGCCGAACCAGGAGCTAAGGTGTGCAGTGAAGTGGGAAAAAGGAGCGTGACTTGGCTTTGGGATTCCTGGGCCGCTGTAGCCTGTGAACACTGTAACTAGGGGACCATTTTTCTTCTCCACTCTTCTCTGCTAGGGGCCTAGCACATCGTTTGGTACAAACAGAGGCTCAGTAAATGCAGTAATAGATGGGTGGTTGGACCAGCCGACAACCCGTTCAAACAGGTAAACGAATGACTGGGTGACTGAGGCTCGATAACTGGCCACGGCCTCCCACTGACCGTGGTCCATCGGACTGTTCTTTTTGGCAGTTCCGGGTGCTCTTCGCCAACCTGGCAGCTCTGTTCTGGTATGCCTACCTGGCCTCCCTGGGGAAGTGACGACCGCTGGGAGAACATCAGATGCACTGTGGACGTGGGTCTGGGGGTCTCACCTGCCCAGCGAGAGCAGAACCAACCCAGTCAGGACGTCACTGCCTCTAAATCAGGTGATTCAAGATGCCCGAAAATGATGGATAGAGAAACAGAAATCTCTTAATGTCAGAACCTTGTGTTTTAAAAAGGCAGTCGCTGACTTCAGCTGGTGCTGCCCCAGAAACTTAACATTTAGTAGAGGCAATTTCAATTGTTACTGTGGACCGAATTAGGATCACAATAAACAATAATGTAGGCTCTTCAATGGTGACTTTATTTTGTTTTTTTTTTTTTTTTTTTTTTTGAGACAAAGTCTGGCTCTGTCGCCCAGGCTGGAGTGCAGTGGCATGATCTCGGCTCACTGCAACCTCCGCCTCCTGGGTTCACACCATTCTCCTGCCTCAGTCTCCTGAGTAGCTGGGACTACAGGTGCCCGCCACCACGCCCGGCTAATTTTTTGTATTTTTAGTAGAGACGGGGTTTCAGTGTGTTAACCAGGGTGGTCTCGATCTCCTGACCTTGTGATCCGCCCGCCTCGGCCTCCCAAAGTGCTGGGATTACAGGCTTGAGCCACCGCGCCCGGCCCTCAATGGTGACTTTAATCTCTCAGAACAATTGCTGTTGCTTTGAAAGAAATGCATAGCCAGATTTTTTTAAATTTTCGTGTGTGTGGTACGACACATAAAACAGAAAATTTACCACGTAGCTGGTCGTGGTGGCTCATGCCTGTCATCCTAGTACTTTGGGAGGCAGAGGCAGGAAGATTGCTTGAGGCCAGGAATTTGAGACCAGCCTGGGCAACACAGTGAGACCTCATTTCTACAAGAAAAAAAAAAAATACACACACACACCCCCCTGGGACATCTTCCTGCCGCAGCCTTCCAAGTAGCTAGGATTATAAGTTCCTACCATCACACCCAGCCACACCTGGCTGTGTGTTTTTTTTGTAGAGATGGGGTCTTCCTGTGTTGCCCAGGCTGGTCTTTGAACTCCTGGGATTACAGGTGGGAGCAACTGCACTGGGGCTCTTTCCTTTTTTTTTTTTTTTGAGACGGAGTCTCGCCCTGTCACCCAGGCTGGCGTGCAATGGCGCAATCTCAGCTCACTGCAACCTCTGCCTCCTGGGTTCAAGAGATTTCTCCTGTCTCAGCCTCCCGAGTAGCTAGAATTACAGCTGCGCACCACCATGCCCGGCTAATTTTGTGTGTCTTTAGTAGAGAAGAGGTTTTGCCATGTTGGCCAGGCTGGTCTTAAACTCCTGACCTCATGATTTGCCTGCCTTGGCCTCCTGAAGTGCTGGGATTACAGGCATGAACCACCATACCCGGCCCTCTTTCCTTTTAAAAAAGGCTGACTTTTGATTGTCCTTAAGATTCTTTAAAAAAAAAAATAAAAATAGGCCAGGCTCGGTGGTTTACCCCTGTAATCCCAGCACTTTGGGAGGCTGAGGCAGACGGATCACTTGAGGTCAGGAGTTCAAGACCAGCCTGGCCAACATAGTGAAACCCTATCTCTACCAAAAATATAAAAAATTAGCAGCCGGGCGCAGTGGCTCACGCCTGTAATCCCAGCACTTTGGGAGGCCAAGGCAGGCAGATCACGAGGTCAAGAAATCGAGGCCATCCTGGCTAACATGGTGAAACCTTGTCTCTACTAAAAATACAAAAATTAGCCGGGCGTGGTGGCGGGTGCCTGTAATCACAGCTACTCGGGAGGCTGAGGCAGGAGAACAGCTTGAACCTGGGAGGCAGAGGTTGCAGTGAGCCAAGATCGCTCCACTGCACTCCAGCCTGGTGAGAGTGAGACTCCGTCTTAAAAAAAAAAAAATTAACTGGGTGTGATGGTGCACGCCTGTAATCCCAGCTACTTCGGAGGAGGCCGAGGCAGGAGAATCACTTGAACTGGGAAGGCAGAGGCTGCAGTGAGCCAAGATCATGCCACTGCACCCCAGCCTGGGCGACAGAGTGAGGCTGTCTCAAAAAAATATATAAATAAAATAAAAAATAAACATAGGACTGGGTGCAGTGGCTCACACCTGTAATCCCAGCACTTTTCAAGGCCGAGGCAGGCGGATTACGTGAGGTCAGGAGTTTGAAACTAGCCTGGCCAACATGATGAAACCCCCTCTCTACTAAGAAATAATAAAATAAAAATTAGAAACTTAAAAGGCTGAAACATTCCCA